CGTCCTTAAGGAGAGCATCCCAAACATCAACACAGGCCTAAAAAACTTCCTTGCAAGTTGAAAAGCACTAAAACAAAACATCGTCTCAACTCAGTTTTGTTTTCACGCGGCGAGTCCACCAGTGAAACTGCTGATCGCCTAGCGTCGGCCATAGGCCCCGCAGCGCACTGCCAAGCAGGCTTCTGCTGCACCATCTACATGACTATCCCCGAAGTCATGGCAACAACTGAGAAGATGCTCTGTGCATCCACTCAGAAAAACCCGTATCAGGGAGGAGAGCCCTCGACCCGACGCTACACGTATCAGGGAGGAGAGCCCTCAACCCGACATCGTGGCTACAAGGTAAGTAAAGAGTAAAAAGGAACCGCCCCGGACACAAGCAAGAGAGGATAAACCTCATCTAGACTTGGCCTCACTTGCAGGCGAGGTAAAACCTCAGCCCCACCTAGCCATCCATGCAGAGGGTGCATATGAAGAGATACGAGTTGGATTGCACCCGTTCAAGCATCTGGGAGCCCACACGTTGCGCCATAGCCCCAACATCAGTGACATAGAATTGCCCCTGATGCAGCAGGCATGTGCGGTAATGTCCTGCCGTCGGCGTCACTCCTTCGTGAAAAGCAATGGCTGTGATGCGATAGGGCACGTGCCGTATCTGCACTGTGTCCGCCTCGCTCCAAACAGGGACCTGGATTGCATGCTCTGAGAATCCTACAGGAGTGGTGCACTTATGCGTAATGCCAGTATCGACATCGAACTCATATCGTCGCAGCTGGAAGCACACAAGGGGTGCGACAGAGGCAAGGGCACACATCTGATCCGGATGCTCCGATCCTCGAAAGAATTGAGCAGCACAATCCTGAAAGGTGAGCGCTTGGCCATTGTTGGGAGGAACGGGAGTAGGCAGGGGGATGGGTGTGCAAAGTGAGCCTTCATCCAGTATTCGAAGCTCCAGCCCCCTGATGGCACGCACCTGCCAGCATTCAAGACCAAAGGGCATGCGACATTGCGTGATGAGATGCGAAAGGAACTCAGCAACATCATGCTGCTTATTTGGGTCATTCCAGAGCCGCATGATCGCCTGGATGCGAGGTAAAGCGCGAAGCAGAACAGGCTGAGTGGTATGAGCCAGGTCTCGGACACTAGTCCCAAGAGTGCCCAGCAGTCCCGGAGGCATGCCCACCTGGAGCGAAGCATGCATCATCAGCAGAAACGCGGAGTTGACATAGCAGGCATTCGTTCCGTGCGGGTTGAGGAGCCTGCACCGGAGCGCCAAGTCAGGTTGCGTACCTCGTCCGCCTCTCTGCCATGCCTCTGCCTCTCCTTGTGCATGTTGGCCCCAATCAGGTTCAGCACAGCCAAACCGGACGGCTTGAGAAAGGCCTCGTAGAGGATCTGACATTGTGGGCCGCGCAGGCCGATGCTGACTCGAAACGGCACCGAACTTCCCGTCATAGTCGGCGTCAACCTTCTCTTGGCCGCAAACTGATTGAGCGACTCCGGGTCCATCTTGAGCGCAGCACTCAAGTTTTCCAACATGTCTTTGACCTCCTGATGCGGTATTCCCGATCGACTCTGGTCCAAGACGAGCTGCTGTTGTTCCGGATCCCACTTCTGATACAGCCAGAGTAGGGGCATGCCGCTGATCCAGTTGACCTTCTCTGCCGCCCTCTGACTGTCCTGATTTCGTTCGAACTTTTCCATTCGAGCTGCTGTCTCCTTGAGCATCAGGCGGAAGAGCTCCGTCTTCAAACTGCATTCCACCTTCATCTGGTCGCGAAGTTCGTTCCACTTCATGGAGGCCTGAATGAGTGGCTTGAGTATTCCATGGGGCGCTGCACTGACATGAAGAAGGAAGCACTTCTCTTGTCTGATCTCGCTCAGCTCTGTCTCCTGCCTGAGACAAAGCTTGGCCAGGGCATAGACAGCTGCCTCCACATCCAGGCTTCCCGATGAGCGATACCGTGTGTCCTGGTAGCTCCCCCAGCTGTAATCCTGTTGTCGCGATCCCTTGCCTTTGTTCTTGCCCTTGCCTTTGCCCCCTTGTCTTCCCTTGGACTGAGGCACCTGATCTGGATCCTGTCTGTACCGCTTGTTGGGATTGTTTACCTCGAAGCCGCCTTCTGACAGAACCTCGCTCAAGGCCGGGAACAATGGCCCAAGCACTTGTTCCATGATCTTCTTGGGCTGTGTGCTGCCTAGACTCTGCTTTCAAATGCTGGAGAAGGCAGAACTGAAAGATAACGGGGCAGAAGGGCGCATGGTCTTTGGCGATACGCGAGGTTTTAAGGCAGTAGGGGCAGGTTTTATCGGCAGTGGTGAGCAAGGCCCTACATTTACGACTAAGGGAGGTAGTATCAGTCCATGCATCTGGGTGAGCCTTGTGCAGATGCGTTTTCAGCGACCGAAGATTGGGCTGCGTCTGAGCACATATGCAGCAGTGTTTGAGCAGGAAATCGCTCTCTGCATCAGTGGGCTGTTGCAGAGTTGGCACAGCAATGGCAATGGACAGCTGGCTTCCATTTTTCAGTGTAAGGCAGTGTTGCTGCGGTTGAGAGGTCGGTGCCTGTTGAGCGCCGAGCTCTTTGAGGAACATGAGCTGAAAAAGGACCTGGCAATTCTGAGCATGCGCACGGGCAGCTCTGCGGTCCGCAAACTTAGGGGCCAGGCAGAAAGGGCATCCCTCACGACTTGTGATATGATGTGCGAACGAGAGACACACATGCTCAGCTGTGGCTCCAGCCTTTTGCCATTCCGTGGTATGTGTGCCACGAAGATGAATTTTTTGTACCTCCTCTCTGCGGTGTCCATTGCCGACACAGGCAGCAATGACTGCTAAGCTCGGCCTGTACCCTCGGGTGCTGCTGGAGGACCTCAAGCGGGGGGTGCGCTTTAATTGCATCGACGATGGCATTGTCACGATGAACGGGCTGAGGATCCAGCCGCCGCTTTGAGCTGGCATCATTAGCAATGTGAGGCTCGGGAGCATCACCTAGATCATAGGACATGGGACCAGGGTCAGGCTGTCGGGGAGAGACAAAGGTACCGGGCTGATCGGTTGTGAGTGCCGTTTGGACAGGCTGTTCCGCATCAGTCGCACAGCTTTCGTGGCAGGGAGGATGGCACATTGAGGCAGAGACATCCATGGGAGTTGCGCTCGCGATCTGCGCAGTTTGGACCACATGAGCACGAGTTTGGCACACCTGATCAAAGATGTGCCTCTGCAGCTGTTGCCATGAGCTGAAGTCCTTGCCACACCATCTACACGTAGGGAGGCCATTAGCTCCATGAGTGAATCTGTCCACCTCTTTCCAATCAAGATATGATGAGGCTTTGAGTCCTGCTTGATGGATTTTGTTCCGGTGCTTGGTAAGCGCAGCCTTGCTGCCCGCCACGTGATCGCACTCAGGGCACTGGAAGGTACTGAGAGCATTCGGAACGTGACCTGCTTGCCTATCGCTGGCTATGGTATGGATCTGAGCAAGAACTCTGGCCTCGCAGGCTAAGATGTCCTCGCTGAGTCTTGCATCCTTGGCATCCAAGAGAGTGCTGAGTCGCACTGTTTTTGCCTGCTGTTTCTGGGCACTGCGAAGCAGGCAGTCAATGGGATCCTGGAGATCATATTGACCGCAAAGCTGCTGATTGCTGACACCTGTGAGGTGCACAGGTTTGCTGGTGATGTGCCGTAGCTGTCGATAGAAGGAGACGGCCACACGCTGTGCTGATCCAGAAGTGAGGCCCACCTGCGGCAAGGCATACAGCAGACTGGAGGTAACGCAGGCCTGCCAGATGCGCAATCGGTTTTTCAGAGCAAGGGCCTTTTGAGTGAGCACTGGCTTCAGCCTGTCAAATAAGGCCTGTGCAGCTTTTATCCGTCTGGTTGCAGTGAGGTCCTCCATGCGAGTGTAGCTGAGAGTGGCTCCTAAGTAATCATGTTGAGCAACAACTGGAAGCCTCCATTGTTGATCTTCGTACTGGAAGAGCACTTGTTGCTTTTGATTGTGCACCTGTACGATTTTTGCCTTCACTCTCCCGGCTGTGGTGCCTCCGAGGTGGAGCAATACGGCACTTTTGGAGGCAGCAATGCTCGCAATGCTCATGCCCAGTTTTTGCAGGACCCATAGAGCCTTGGAGATCGCTTTGATGTGCTGCAGCAATTCTCCTTCGGAGCGAATCACTGCCTGAAAGAGGGCGTCATCCGCGAACCAGTTGCTATGCTGTTTGCACCAATCAGGTCCTATCTCGTGCATTACAAGGATGGTAAATAAGGACCAGACCCTTGGGGCAATCTTGCATCCCTGCCGTATGCCCCTGCCACAGCGAATGTGAGCTTGGCATTTTTCGTGCTCAAAGTGATAGACGACGTCTGCATGCCAATGCTCAATGAGGCGGCACACATCACTAGGAAGACAGCTGATCAGTTCCAGGGCCTGATGCATGTACTTTGGCTCCAGTGAATCAAAAGCCTTGCTCATGTCAAGAGAGACTGTTATGGCTCCCACTAAGCGGCACCTGGTGGCCCCAGCATGGCGTTGTTGTAGTGTGACGCGTTGCTGGGCAACAAGTTCGCGAGCTATGTGCAGGTGTTGAAAAGCCCGCATAAGGGCCTGAGATACGCCACGATTGGCCATGTAGGCAAACTGAGGAAAGGGCGCTACTGACTCATAGAGAGCTTGACGATGCTGCACAGAAATGGCTCCTAAGAGTGCTTTCCCTACTGGATCCGTCAGTCCAATCGGGCGATACTCCTCAGCCTTGCGCCCCGATTTGTTGGGCTTCAAAATGAAGCAAAGCCAGGCATGCCTCCATTCGGGTGGAATCCAGAAGCGATCCATCTGCCAATCGCTAAGGATGGTTCTGTGGGCTAAGGCAGCCACCGAGGAGGCCGCGAGCTTCCACGCAATGCCTGGCACATAGTGATCTGGCAGTGATTTGTGCTGCGGCAGTGAGGCAAGAGCATCTTCAAGCAGCTGTGGCGGGAGGTCATATCTCAGCAGCGGATCTGGTGATCTGGGATGTTGGCCGACATGCACTTCTTGCCAGAACCGTTGCAGTGCCTGGGTTTCTTGCAGTGTTGACATGATGTGACCCTGAGCATCCCGAAGTTGTGGTCTGCGACGTATGACCTTGGGCGCTATTTTATTAACTTGAAGGTAAACCTCTCTAATGTCGCCATGTTGGGCAGCCTGAGTGGCTCGCTGAATGCAATGCTCGACAAAGGCCTGTCTCTTGAGCTTGCTAACTGCACGAACCTGTCGTTGGAGCTGATTGAACTGAATCTTGAGATCGCGACGCTGAATTTCAGCCTCTGCATTGTCCACTTGCTGCAGGGCTTTGAGCTCCCTATGACAACGCCAGAGGCTTTTGACTGGCGTGGTCGCATCGGGTGTGTCATATTCAGTTCGCAAATCAACAGGAACAAGTCGGCTATGCAATTCTTCCTCAAGGATCCCATTGATTTCCTGTGTGTCCCACCCCCTCAGGCTTTGCAACCTTTGTTGAATGGCCTGTTGAAAGCCTTCGGGGTCACCAAGATGGAGCTGTCCTTGCTTAATTTTTGCATTAATGCTCTTAGCCGCATTGTGGCGCGATGGCATGTCGGACGCATAGTAGCATTCTGCCGGGATGCTTGCCTGAACTGGCCAGTGTTTGGGACCCCCTCTCCAAGCACCTAGGTCCGCATCAACCAAGGTTCGCGTGCATTTGGCCTGAGAGTCAGTGCGCCTGCCTCTTATGATGATAAAGTCAATTTGACTCTGGCGAAAGGCTCCCCCTTTGGTTTGGCCGGGTGTAGGCTGAAAGGTATTGAGGGCTCTCAGATCAAATTGTTTCAGCATGCGTTGTAGGACATGCGCATCAGGAGCATCAGCAGCATTGCCCTTACTGATGATTGCTGAACCCGTGTAGGGTGCACAGGCCTGCAAGCCAGTATTAAAGTCTCCTGCAATGACAAGCGAGTGCCGAGTGGGACATGTGGAGATGGCCTGCTGGAGGGCATCCCAAACTGTACCCCTGAGGGCTGAGCCGTCTTTGCTGCCATCATGGACTTTCTGATAGATGTTGATCAGATAATGACAGCAGCTTTTCTGTTGGGCCTTGACCATGAGGAGCCTACCGGGTACAAGGATCTCACTACGTATGCAAGGCTGAGGGAAACTGGTTTTAGAGAGGAGGATCATGACCCCTGAGTGCCTGGTACTGCAGCCAGAGGAGATGATGTGCCAGTTGTCATTGGCATAATCTTTGTCCTCTGACCAGTGGGTTTCCTGCAGAAAGACAATGTCAGGACAGCACTGCGCCAACCAAACGAGCAGTTCTGTGTAAAGGGCTGAGGTAAGCCCTGCGCAATTGTACGTAAGGACACTGAGGCGTCGATTGTTGCGATGCCGGGTGCCAATGTGTCGTTCCTTGGGCTTAACAGAAACGGGTGTCGCAGCCAAAGTGGGCTGCGATGCATGAGCCTCTGTGCGAAGCGGTCTGACTCGATAGAGGGCCACACTTGTACCTTTTGCATGTTTGATGGCATTTCTAAGGGCGGTTTTACGAATTGTCTGTTCATGATGCAACAGTATTTGGCCTTCACCGCTATTTGTCGCCCCCATAATGACGTTCGCTAAGAGATTGTGAAGGGGAGCTTGCTCTCCTGCCGCGGTGACAGGAGAAACCCTCGGCTTAACCGGGACACATTGACTTGGTGCGGGGCTAAGAAGTATCAAGAGACCACGCAGCCAAAGACTGATATAACCCCGGCGCCAGGATTTGGGACCTGGCTCGGCTCTGCAATGTGTGAGTTTATCATGGGGAATGCTACAGTATCTAATGGGGAAGTATGATCTTGAATCTTGGGGACCAGCCGTCCTGATTGGATGCCACGTCAGCAGGGACTTGGACCTGGTAACTGCAAGGTGAAGGAGGGAAGCTCCTACTGATCCCAAGAAAAGCACCGCAGCAGTGTGCACATGTGTTGCACACTCCTTGGGGATTTTTTGCGCACATCTGGCATGATCAAGGGCCTCTTGCAGGCATCGACGCAGGTAGTCCATTCTGCTCTCTTCCGGTCTTTGATCCTCAGGAAGAGGCGGATACTTAGAGCGCCTGGAGCGCTGATGTCGCGGTGGTGGTCGATGTCTTTGAGCCCCCGTAGCCGGAATCAACTCTGGTGAAGAAGAGCTGTCTATGGTAGCAGCCAGTGCCTCCGATTGAGCAGCCACGAGCATAGGCCGTTCTGTGGAGCCAGAGGCAGGCTCACCAGCACCTTCGTTTGTCCTTTCGTCTGGTGTGTCGAGTTCCGCCTCATCTGCCCAGCCAGAGTCTCTTGACCTCTTTGCTCTCGTCGGCGACACTATCTCCTCCTCCAGATCCTCATCAAGAGGCCGCTCCTGGTCCCGATGTTCGCACCTTATCAAGGGTAGGCTTTGGGGTGCCATCATGGATGCGGACGAGCTTGCTTCCGTACTCGCAGTTCCTGTCTGACCCTCATGGGCATGAGGTGATTCCTCTTGGGTCGGTGCCTGCCTGTGATCCTGGTCGTTCTGCTGTTCCTGCTCCAGTTGACGTTGTTGATTTCTCTGAGCTTTGCCCAGTCTCGTCCCCTGGCGGACGCGCGTGGCAGTGCTTTTGCCCATAGCTAAATCACTCGGTGCCTGCCTAGAGAGGATTAGACGGGAGCCTGCATTGAGGGAGAAAGGGCTCTTGGAGAGGAATCCTGAGCTCTTAGAAGTATCGCTCTTCTGCAAAGTGAAATGCCTAGCTGGATGACACGTATCTACAGAGTAGGGGATCCTCAATCCTCGAAGCCGTCTGCGCACAGACATGACATGCACAGGCAGCAAGAGGTCACGAGAACGGAGCTGCTGGACACTGTCGTTGTGAGCTGAGAGTCGTGCTATGGCTCGAAGCAATGCTTCCAGGTCCTGGCGATGCAAAGCCCACAGGCTGGAATTGGGACTCTGTACATACGGGGTCAGCTTTGTCGGTGTGCGGTCCTGGCGAGGCGGAGCCCTCAAGCCCGTGGCGCAGTGCTGCATCAGGTGGATCATAATGACCTTCACAGCCCAGCCCATTTCGGTTTGAGGAGTGGGAAGCGTAGGCCAGAGAATGCTCAAACAGCCATTGCTGGGGCTCCCGCCTGTAGAGCTGCTATGCCTACAGTCAATTAAGAGTGCGGCAAGCTGGTCTCGAGAAGTGGTGCCCAGCTCAGAGGGCAGAGTAGCTGCATCTTTTTGAACGCGCTGCAGCAGTCTACCGGATCTAGCCCTCGATTGTCTCCTGGGCTTTGAAGAGCTGACATATCGGCTGACATCGGGAGCGCAGCCCGAAGCAACCTTGACATCTCCAGCCTGCCCTGACCAGCATCTTCGCCACAGCACGCGTTGGAGGTTCACTTCGACCTTCGGCCCTAGACCTGTTGCGCATCGGCGGCGTAGGAAGTGCCGACACCAGGGCCTCCAGAGTGTATTCGGTGTCAGACCCAGCCTGCTGACCAGTGCCCTGAGTCGGTGTCGAGGAGTTCGGAGTACCCTGGCCCATGCCATGCTCTGATAGAAGGATCTGCTGCATCGTCTCCGGTGTGCTGAGAGCCATCGGCTCCTCATCCTGAAAGGCATTGCCATCCGAGGAAGTTCGAGAGAGAGGGGGGAATGAACCCAGTGAGGTGCCAAATGACTCAATGTCGCTGCCAAAGAAGTCAGCATCGGAGCTCTCACCGTCCACCCCCCTGGCAGCGCCATCCACTGTAAGTGGTTGAGCTGCTGCAGGCCTGCGGTTTCTGGAGCCTCTTGTAGTTGCTTTCGGCTTCGCCTTGGCCTTGGCCTTTGTTTTGGCACGCGAAGCTGCCGACCCTGAGGCTCGAGATTTAGCCATGGCCGACGGCTAAGATCTAACTCACCAGCGGTGTGGTCAGGTGTGAGATGGGCCTTGCTGGGTGATCCCTCTTTGAACTCATTCGCCTTTATGGGATCAGTGAATCGAGGAGAGAGGGATGAGGTGCTGAGGTGTGCAATGTCAAAGTGAGTATGAACCTTCCATTGCTTGTGGATGGCCCCTATGCCTCTAAGGTCGCATCTGCCAGCACATCCCTGCCCAAACCGAGAAACAGCATGACAAGTCATGTCTCTGTTTTGTGGGTGACAAAGCTGACTGGATATAGGCACTCCAGGCTGAGATTCTAGCAGTGGCAGAGAGCGATGCCCTCAGGTCGTCTTGCTTGCATGACCTGTCAGCAGAGGGGGGCGACCCAGGTCGTGCACTGGACGCAGCGTAGGCTATCACCCATCTCATTTGGAGCCTATTCCCAAGCCTGCTTGATCGCGAGGGGAGACCCTCCAGCGACCTGATCAACACAATTGGCGTTGCTCTGGGCCAGTGAGGCACGCTTATACACTCGGCTGGGAGGCGTTCCAACAAGGCATCGATATGCATGAGGTTTGCCTCCGGTGCTGAAAGGGTCCACTGTTGTCGCAAATGAGAGTTGTAGGCACACGCCTGGAGCTCATAGAATCTCCCTAAAGACGCGGGCAACCAGAGCTTCATTTCACACACCTGCATAATGAACGGGTGCTGAGGCACAATACTAGATAGGACAGGAGTATGCACAAGACAGCACAGGGGACATGTACCCGCCTTTCCCGATTCAGGTGCATTTCGCAGACCCTCACCCCTATATGTAGGTTCAGTGCTGAGGAGGGCGCAGCAGTCAAGTTGACATGTGCTCAAGGCAACCAGCATCTGCAGCCCTTTGCCACGCTGTGTACTATTCAGAGACACCACTGACAATGTGCAAGTCTTCTGCGTCACTGCAGCTAGTTCGTATCCAACTACGGCAGAGCAACGCGTAGGGCAGCAACACCTGAGGCAGCCTCCAGTCACCTTAATTAGTCCAGGCAGTTCAGGTCGATGGTGATCTTGGTGTGCAGACCTGCTTATGTCACCGCAGAATAAAAGGATACACGGTGTGCTAGCGACGGCCTGTAGGCAGTGATTTCCTTGGACTACCTGCCAAGAGTAGTAAGTGCGCATGTATCGCCAAGCACCAGTGCACATGAGCAGCCTTCGTGGGGATGAGCGATCCCTGCTCCAGGTATGTGTATCTTGTTGTGACCTCATGCATGCCAGGAGGTTGCTCCACTTCTTCAAACACCGATGCTGGGTAAAGCTGATCCCAGTCGAGTACCACACCATGATTTCCTGACTGATGCTTCGTGGGTTTTGTGCCAAGACCAGCCTGCCGCCACGCAGTAATGCTGGATTCCGTTGGAGGGACATTGGCTGCGAGAGGCTTCGCAGGGTCTGGGGCCCGGCACCAGCCAGCGCGCATGCCTGCGAGCATCGCCTGGGATTCAAGTGTTGCCCAAAGGAATTGCTGACTACATATAACCTACCTTGTGTGCAACTTGATGGTGCCACAGGTTGGCTCCAAGTCGGATACCATGCACTCCTGCGTTTCGCGGAGAGGGCAAGCTGTGCAGCCACTGCCATCTATGCGGAGTCCTGATTTTGCTGATGTGCATTGTGCAGTTGCCCGTGCGGCCTATGGCAAGTTCATCCTTCCTAGTAATCGGCAAGAGAGGCCCCCAGCCTAGCGACGCATCCTGACCCTGAGCGTAGACTTTATCAGGATCCACATGTGCAGTGAAAGCGCATGTGTGCCTCCGATGGACCACAGAGATCCTCGTATGTGCATCCCAGATCGCAGGGTAGGACAGGGCGACCTTGTCCCATTCAGCATGCTCACATGTGGTTGAGGTAGAAGATTTTGGGAAGACATAGCCTGATGGCAGCAGCAATCCTGGATCCAACGTAGTAGTCCTAGGGGAGCAGGTAAAAGGGTACCTAGTGACAATAGTACAGATCAAAGCGCGTGGCACGCCGGGGCCTTCTTGTTGGCCTACAGCCGCGCCAGGCATGAGTTTCAGCGCGTGCAAGGTCACCTTCTGCTGCCTATGCCGCCCGTGGCGATGCCAGTCTCCCCATTGGGGCCACCTGCGAGCGATGGCGGGAGTCGCTTGATGAGGCAGCGCATTACACCTGGATGGGCCTGTGAGTACAGAGGGCTCCCTCGACGCCTCTGGTGCTTGCTCCTTCCACATAGCGAGGACGGACCTAAGGTCAGGAATGTTTGCAGGAACAGCTTGGCGTAGGCACCATTGGGTCAGCGACTGCAAGTTGCCAGCTGGATAGCCTATCCTCCAGCAATTGACTAACGGGAAGCGATGACGATGATGACGCACATACTCATGCAGGCCTCGCTGACTAGGCGGCACTATGCCGATCGCACCGGTTCGCAGAGCTGCATCGAGAGGCTGCGGATGAGTGTGAGTGGGCCAACAGCCCTCACTGGGATGATATCGTGAATTGCATGAACATCTGCACTGCACCAGTATGGATGTCGCATCTGCGGTTTCAGCATGGAGAGCGCAGTGACTATTCAGACAAGGGCATGAAATTGCAGGCAACGATTCCAAGTTTTCAATCATCAGCTGCCTTGTGCAAATTTTGGAGGCGGGTAAGTCTATTGCATCACCGCCACAGCAAAACCTTAGATCCCAAACGTGTAAGGACACCAGTCCTGAGTGCTGTGTGGCTGACGAGGTCCCTGCCGGCATATCACCGTCACAGCTCATGAGCTCACCTCGCCCCGTGGCAGGCATGTTCATTATTGGCCCTTTGCAGCAAGAGCTGCTCCTCATGAAGGCCCGCGCACCTGAGGACTTGGATTGAAGCAGCGGAGTCACTCGATACCTATGAGCGCCACAAAGGAACACATGCACATTTGTCGGGAGCAGACTCAGTGAGGGTCGCACAGGCGAGGAGGAGCCCTCAAGCCATGAAGATCGACCTGTTGAGTTGCAGTGTGCGCAACGTCTGGTGCTGCATAATAAGGGCCTGGCAGACGAGGCGAGCCCCTCAGTCCTTTGCCAATCCTGACGCAGAGTGCTGATGGATTTCACACTAGAGGCAGGATAGCGATATGCCAAGGGCCTAACAGGCGAGGCGAAGCCCTCAATCCTGCGCCGAACCTGTCGCAGACATTCAGATTGCATGCTCGGCGCAAGCCAGCTATGTACGTGATTCAAGAAGTACCCGCCTTCGGTTGCACCAAAATAGCGCTGGAACCGCTGCAATGCCAAGCTGATGCGAGCTGCAGGAAGCGTGTTTTCCATTGCGAAATTGAACAGCTGCAATGAGAGCTTCCATGGTCGTAAAGCGGGTTGCTTGCTGAATATGAGCAGTGTAGATCTCCAGTACCGCTTGCCATTGTGGACTGTTCTCGGGTTCTGCTTCTTCAGAGCAGTACATGATAAAGGTTTGCAAAGCCAGCAATACCTGGGCCATCGGAGGACGAGCCTCTGGAGGGATATTTGCCAGCAGCGTTGTTTCTGGATCGTCCGATGCCTCTGCGGCCGAGCTGCAAGCTGCAGCTGTATTGTTGTTGCCCATCTCCAGGGGCACATCCACCGGCGTGACACGATATAGTGTGGAGGCTGTCCCCTCCATCTCTCCGCTGCCAATCGGCTCTAAGAACCCTTCGTCATGTCCCTGCTCCACGAAGTCTCCAGACTCAACTGTCCTTTCAGCTTTCGGTGCTGCATGTACTGTATCACAGCAGCACAGCAAGAGCAGCAACAGTGGCTTGAAGTGAAGTGCCATGGCGACCCAAGCCTCTGACCGCCGAACGAACAGGGCAACAGAACCCCGGGGCAAAACGGGCAGGGAACGCGGGACACAACCCCAAGACGGCCAGAGACCTTCCCCAAACTTCACACAAAAACTTTGAGCCGACAAGCCTTACTCAGTTTTGTTTTTTTTTTTCCGTCACACGCGGCGTGTCGAGCAGTGAAACTGCTGAACGCCTAGCGTCGGCCATAGGCCCCGCAGCGCACTGCCAAGCAGGCTTCTGCTGCACAACTTCATGACTAGCCCCAGAAAGTCATGGCAACTGAGATGCACAGGCATCTACAAAAAGACCTTTGTCAGGGAGGAGAGCCCTCAACCCAACGCAACATGTATCAGGGAGGAGAGCCCTCAACCCGACATCATGGCTACAGATTAACAAGGTGAAATGGAAAAACCGCCCCGGCAACATCAGGAGAGGATAAACCTCATCAAGATGCAACCTCACATGCAGGCGAGGTGACACCTCAGCCCCACCTAGCCATCAATGCAGTGGGTGCACACGAAGAGATAAGAGTTGCATTGCACCCTTTCAAGCATCTGGGAGTCCGCACGTCTTGCCACAGCCCCATCATCAGTGACAAAGAACTGCCCCTGATGCAGCAGGCATGTGCGGTAATGCCCCGCCGTCGGCGTCACACCTTCATGAAAGGTAATGGCTATAATGCGATAGGGCACGTACCGAGTCTGCACTGCGTCCACCCCGCTCCAGACAGGGACCTGAAGTGTAGACTGCGAGAAGTCCACTGGAGTGGTACATTTGTGCGTTATGCCAGTATCAGCATCAAACTCATATCGTCTCAGCTGGAAGCACACCAGGGGTGCAATCGAGGCAAGTGCACATTTCTGATCTGGATGCTCCGCTTCTTGAAAGAACCGAGCAGCACAATCCTGAAAGGTGAGTGCTTGGCCATGGTTGGGAGGGACCGGAGTGGCCAGGGGGATGGGTGTGCCGAGTGAGCCTTCATCCAATACGCAAAGCTCCAGCCCCCTGATAGCACGCACCTGCCAACATTCAAGACCGAAGGGCATTCGACATTGCGTGATGAGATGTGAGAGGAACTCAGCAACACCATGCTGCCTGTTAGGGTCGTTCCAAAGACGCATGATCGCCTGGATGCGGGGCATAGCACGAAGCAAGGTAGGCTGAGTTCTGTTAGCCAGGTCTCGAACACTAGTCCCAAGAGTGC